CTGGTGGCGGAGCCGCGCCTGCCGCGGAGAGCCCTGCGGGGAGCGCGCCTCTGGGCATGCGCGGCGGCGCCTGAGCGGACTCGGCTCCTGCTGCCCCGCCGCGGGACCAGCCGAGCAGGCCGAGCCGCGCGCCTGTTTCGGGGCAGCGCGGGGACCGCGAGGCCTGGGCGCGCGCCGGCGGCCGCCTCCCGTGGCGGGACTGCTTTCCCTGGGCGGGGCGCTTCGGCTGAAAGCGGGCCAAGTCGTGGGGACGGGCGCCCCTTACCCGAGGATGCGGCGGGGTTGCGCGGGGGCCGGAGTCGCTTCCCGCGCCCGAGGTGCCTCGCAGTGCGGAATCGGTTTCCGCGCATCTGCCGCGCAGCAGGCCCGCCGCCTGCCGCCTGGCATCCTCAGAGAAACCCCGTGCGGGTCAGGCAAGGCCTTCCCCTTTCAGACCGTCGAATGGGTTTATTTTTAATTCATCCTTTCCCATACTTTCCACGCACCCTAATTTAGCTCTCTTGATACGGTTAGATGGTGTTTATGACTGCCATTTCAAATGAGTTTTTCAAATACATATTCGGTTTCATGTAAGCAGAAGAAACCAGGCTATATGAACGCCGACTCCTTTCTCAGTTAAATGTTTGTCACTGATGCACAAAGGGATGTATCCTAAAAGAGTTCTGAAATTGAAACGACTTTTCCTTTCAAAGCAACAATATCTCAAGTTACATAAGTTACTTTTAATAACACTTAATGTGTCTCATTTTAGGTTTCAAAGTTTAAAATGCACACATTTCAGATTTATTGGGGAAAAACCACCTCCTGTTTTCAGCAGTTCATTTGGCAGAATGGTAGAAACTGATGACATACAAGATGCAGCTTGATTTTCTGGCCTGAGTGAGCCCTTGACACAAGTTGGGCCTTGACCCGACCCTCAAGCAACTCAGCAACACCGGAAGACAAATAGCCTGCACAGAAGCAGCCATCCTAGGAACAAGCTCACAGCCGTGTTGCAGCTCTCCCGTCAGTTGTGACATTGTCCCAGAAACGATGGAACTAGGAGCACCGCCTGGAAAGTACCCACAGACGGGCCACACTCGTGCCGCCGGAAAGGCTGCGGCCGTTCCGCTCCCCCTCATGTGCCACAGCCGTAGACATCTGCCGGCAACGCCCGGCAGGCTTCCTTTCTCTGATTTTGTCGGCCCTTGCACTGTCCCACTGGATGTGGCAATTGCCGTAAGAGGTTTGGAGGCCTAGGCTCCGATCCTGCTCTAAGTCGATGGCGCTGCTGCCTTTCCAGATGTGCTGCTGGTCCTCAGGCAGCGTGCAGCTGACAAGCACAACCCTCCTCTCTATGGAAAGGGCTGTTTTGCAGGTGAAAAGTCCGAACTGCCCAGGCAAGCCTTTCCGAGGAAGATGGCAGGGGCCGTGGCACAGCTTGCAGCTGCCGGCCAGTGCAGCCTGCAGCACTGAATGAATCCTTGTTTGCTGCATTTGAATAGTAATAAAGTTACTGATGTTCAGTAAATGTGTGGAATGCAGCAAGTCATAGCGAGTCAAACCCTCTAAGCAAGTTAGTAAGGCAGTGCAAAGAGAACTAGTGAGCATAAATGGACAGGATGGCAAACCAGGGGGGGGGAGGTGTCACCTTTCCCAAGTTCAGGGGCCAGGAGTCCACCACTGGCCACATTCTCAAGGGTACATGAATGCTCTGGCTTGGTGGCAAGCGCAGCATGCCAAGGCTAATGGCTCCCACCCCACCTCCGCTGAGATTAAGAATGAGGGCGCTTATTTCCGCCATGGAACGCAAGCCATGGTGCCTTCATGGGGATCGCCTGCCTGGCCTGCTCGCTTTCCTTGTCATCTCGTCTTGTCCACACTGGGCCATGCCAGCTCTGGATCAGCAAGCAGGCTGCAGGCAGATGGACTGGAAATGTTAAACTCTTGCAGCACAGAGAAATCCATCAAGGTTTTACAGCACTTCCCGGTGTCATATTAATTCATATTTCCCATGTGCCTATGGGAAAGCTGTTCATATACTTTACTTCCATCCAGGATTACCCCAGCAGATCTGCCAATCCCCAAAATTAGTTTTTTCAAATTCCATGTTCAAGTCAACGAAAAAGAGCTCATCTCTTTGACAGCTGAAGACAAGCTAATATTTTACTTCCCAGCAACAGATAAGCGAGAAATGGCAGGAGACGATGGGAAATGTAGAGAACCCTTCTTTTTTGGAGGCTGCTTTCCATTCAGAACGATTATAGTAGGAGAGAGCTGTAACTGACATTCAGCAAGACCAATCTTTTCTTGCATTTTGGAAATGGAAACATCTAGGAGAGAAAATGCACCACATACTTCATTGCAGCTCCAGATGTGTAGGACTCCAACCCCACTAATGGCCTATGGATGACAGAGACCGTAACCCAACACTTCTGGAGGGTTCCAGGCTGAGGGAGGCAGCGACACACGAGGACAGAGGGGTCCCAGAGTCACCAGGGGCTCCTGGATCTGGGCTAGCAGTGACCGGCCAGGAAGCATTCCAGGGTTGCAGTGGGCAGCTCCATGTAGACGCCAGCCAGCATGCGGCTGCTGTGGAGGCAAACACCATGCCTCCACAGGGAAGGGAAGGGAAGGGAAGGGAAGGAGGACTCCCTGTGGCAGGCTGCCCCATGCAAACCTGTTGTGCAGCCACCGTCGGAATGCTGCGCCCAGCTCTGGCCCTGCACCGGCATAGAGTGCACTGGAGAGCTGGGAAGAGCTGGGCTCCTGGGCACACGCAGGCCATCTCGTCCGTTAGCCCCACTTTCTCAGCACCATATCATGGGGTCAAGGGCTGGACCAGGCTCCTCTTGCTCCTCCCCCGTGTCCCCTCCCAGCACTTCCAAGCCCTGTCAGTTCCCAAGGCCTGCCTGAATACCTGGAGATGGTGGCCTTGAAACAAGGTAAGCCCCAGCCCTCATCATCCTCATCCTCATCCACAGTTGGTGTTGCCGTGGCCCTGGGCAGTGCATGGACCCTCATGCGCCTGGTGTCATGTCTGACATGCATGCCTCCTGTGCAGCTGTCCTGGGAGCAGCATTTCCGCCTCCTGCCTGGCATGACAGGATGCCCACCCAAGCCTGCAGTCCTGACTTCAGCACACTGACTTCAGCATAGGATTTCTCTGATCATCTCCTCTATATTTGGAAAAAAAAGAGTATGTAGAGTGTCAACATGCGTCCATTCAGAGAATTCAGAGATTCACTTATTTGAGGAAGATTAAAGATCACATAATACACGCATGCCTACTTTCCAGATATAGGTTTACTTTGCATATAACAAGAACCCAGAGTATGGATTAAGCATGAATTGTTGCTGAACCATAGTTGTCATTACATACAAACCCTCCACTTCAGTTTAATGATGGGGTAACTATGAAGGATTCAGAGTTCATAACCAAACAGCAACCCATGGATTTTTTTCCTAAGTTGTTGGTGAGTAACACCCCATAGTTAAACCCTAGTGCAGAGTTTGCACATAATGACAACGCACAGTTTGGTGGGTTGTCTCCGTCTGCCCTTCCTTCATCTCTAAGCATATGTGTATAAAATGGTGGTTAAATGGCATCCAGGAGTAAATATTCGAAAAGGTTTGCCCAGAGAACATGCACACTTAGAACAACTTGTGAAAAACAGGATCGGTCCCATTGCTTGCATGGATCTATTACTAACCAGGAAAGTAACTGTGCAGGATTACAACATGTATCGTAATACCTTTCACCTGAGAAGCATGTTGCTGATCTTGTCACTAAGAAATTGCTGAAGTCCGCCTTTGTTAGCTGCAAGTGGGGTCAGCCTTTTTGTGCAAGCTAAAATATGCCAGAGTTGCAGCCCGTTCCTTCATCGTTCCACCTGTCACACAGCCCACTTTGATTGAGCAAGTGCAATTTCTTATCCAGCCTTGGAGTGTGGCAAGAGATCACTCAGGGGCATGACCACCTTTAAGCCAGCCGAGCTGGGAGTACCGCAATCATTTGCGATCACTGGATTCACTGTGAGCTATACAGGCTTCAAAAGTCGTGCCTCACACACAGGGAATGATCGTCCTTCTTTGAACATGTTCTACTCGTGCTGTGGACCACATTGTTTCAAAGGCTTTCCAAAGCAAAACACAGGTCGGCATGTTTGTTGGCGACTCATTCTGTAGCCTAGAGGTGTGTGTTCAGCTTGGAATGGCAGTTCCTCCCCGCCAGAACGTCATCAGTGCAGCATTGCGCCTGGCATTCCATTAGGTGGCCTGTCGGCTGGGCTTGGCTGAGCCCCCCCTGTTTCCCCTTAACACCCCTTACATGGTAAGGGAGGCAGAGGGTCTCCTGCTCCTTGCGGGGGCTGCATTGCAGGGAGAAGCTGAAGGACTAGGAACGATGCTTAAGAAAAGGAAGAGGGCAAGGGCTGTCTGATGTGCAGGTGCCATCAGAATCAGTGCCCCTGCCATTCTTATTCCTTTCACTGGGGCCTGCGGAAATAACTTTCTGTGGATTATACCAAGTGATTCCAGCAGGTGGACTGTATGGGCTTGAAGTGCTCTTCCCGTGCCATTGCAGTACCTCTAATACTTCTGTGCCAATGATGCTGGGAGCCTGGCACGGTGCTGAGTGATGCTTTTTACTTGTCTGGGCAAGCCTTCCTGCTGAATTCTTTATTGGTGGTCAAACAGAACTCCTCTTGGCCCTTGTCTAGGTGCACTGGGTGCCACTCCTCTGTGGGAGGAATCCTCTCCAGAGAAGTCTGAGCTCCAGAACCAAAGAGCGCAGAGGGCATTCCATGCTGGGACAGCCGGAGGAGTCCGAGCCCCTGGGGGGGCAGGGCTGCAACGCCATCCCGACAGGAGGAGGGAAATGCCAAGTTAGAGGCAAAAGCTGAGTGAGCCCTCGGCCCTGGGGAGCAGTGGTGCTGCATGAGGCAGCTCGGAACACGCCGTGAGCAAGCAAGCTCGTCATGGGGCAGAATGGGCTTCCCAGTGAGTGGGGTCTCTTTAACCTAGTGTGCAGAGAAGATAGGGCTGTGGGGACAGTTGGCTACATTGCCTTGAACTCCCCAGAAGAATCATCAAGTCACAAGAGCACATGGATGGCACACCTGGCCAGCCTCCTGCCCCTCGCATGCACCCCCTTTCCCACCCTCAGCCAGGCTCTCTGCTGGGAACAGAGGGCAGTGCTGAGGGAGGAGAGATTTGGCTGGAGGTGGCCTGTTAGCTGTGGCCTCCCCCATTCCAGGGAAAAATCAGATGGAAGTGGTCTCCTGGCTCTCCTGATCTGGAATGCATCGCCAGTGATCAGCTTTCAGACTGAAGTTCCAGAAAGGACCTTCCTGGCGAGGAGAAGCAGGTCAGACATCAGGTCTGTCAACTGCAACACCAAGCAAACAAGGATACACGCGAGCGCACAAGGCCCCAAAGTTTGAAGGGCAGAATCTCAGAGCTCTTCTTGCACCATACTAGGGAATCCTCCCAGAAACTCCTGCTTCACAGCTGGTAGGCAAAGTGTGATACACTGCACCATGCAAGTATTGGTTGAATTCCCAAGCAGCACTGCTGGATTGTGAGCACTTCACACAGTATTAGGGCTTTGTAGCAAGAAATAAAATGCATTGCTCTATCTGAACAGACTGCAGGTTACAGCAAGGAACATGCACTTTGATGGCCATCCAGCTTGTATCTGTGATTCTCATTTATTTGCAAAGGAACAGTTCTTCTAAGTGCCCCACAACTGGAGTCCATGCTGGGGAAAAACAGTCCTAGGTATAGCAGCCAATCTGAATAATAATGGCATGTAAAAATGTACAAAGCAAGATGTGGTTTGATTTTGGAAGTGATGCAAATATCTTCCTTTATTTACAGTCGAATTCCGTACTCACTACATTGGGGGAAGCCTGGTTAGATCACTAGAATGCCCTTCTGAATAACATACATAGTGCTGTGCTACATGACATTGAATGAACAGGAACGAGCACATTTTTATTGAAAAATACCAGTTTTAATTCAGAATCTGCCCTGCACCATTGCAAACAAATGGGTTGAAAATCCAAATAGAACGTAACGATTACTACTGCATCAACAAATGTACTGGAGTGTAAACAGGACCATCATATGTTCCCATCCTTCAAGGAGGTGCTGTGGACTGTCGAACTGCCTATTAAATATAATGCATCTTCTCCTTGAGGGCTGCCTGTATAGTTGAACTAGTCCATTGGCCCCACAGGTAACTAGGGCTGTAGTTTACCAGTTTTTCTGGGGAAGATGTCACACTGAATTCAGTGGCATGTCTGTTTGTGTAGAGCCGAGAATGTACTGCAAGGCCACAGTCCTGGGCACACTGATTAGAGATGTCCGCTTGGAATCAGTAGGACTTGCTTCTCAACTCACCACGGTCAGGTTGGGAGTGCCTCGTTATATCATGCTCATTAGCTATAGATATTTGTTCATGCTGGTGGCCAAGATGCTGTAGACATGTTGTCATCTTTCTTTCTGACGACTGCAGTGACTTATCGATTGCCTCCCTTGCCTCATCCATCACTAACAGAGCCTACTCAAAATACAGTGACACATTTGATTTCCCCGCTTGCACTCCACAACGGTTCAGGGCTGCATCGTCTTTTAAAGTAGCTGGCTGAATCTGAATCAAATGTAGTAACTGTAATGATCATTTCATGGCTGAAATTGCTGAGCCTCTCCCTGTACGGTTCAATGGAGGATGCAGTTCTTCCTGCTTTTGGGTCATGCAATTACGGACTATGTGGAAGTTAGGCCTTGTGTTTGTGCAAACGTCCTTTGCTCCACTTAATTGTATCCGCAATCCACTCCAAAGGGTATGTGCGGAAGGTTGTCTCATCTTATCCTCCCAACAAGCCTGTGAGATAAGTTGGACTAAGAGATGTGAGGGCATGTGCCTCACAGCAGTGTGTGTGATCTGAATGTGTCTTTCCCACACTGAAGTCCCAGGAGATGAACTTCAGGTGTTTATGTTGGAACAAAACCAGGCTTGGATGGCAAAGCTTAAAATAAATGTCTACTGTCAATTGAAAATAGATTGTATGTATAGTTCTGAATCAGGGTGAAAATTGTGACGTAAAGGAAGACTTTCACAGAATCACAGAACAGTAGAGTTGGAAGGGCCTAGAAGCCCATCGGGTCCAACTTCCTGCTAGTGCAGGACACCAAGTTTCTCCATCCCACTCAAGTATTTTGAAAGCTCCCTCCTTTTTATAGGAATGAGCTCCTCTATAATGCCATTTGCAATGTTACAAATAAGCATGTTTGATATCTGGGTGTGTAACATGGCTGCGTCTGTAAATGACAGCATTCAGAGTGTATGTATGACACACTGACACACTGAAGATGCACACGCAAGATTGTGAATTACCACATTCCATTCTTGCTGTTCCTCTTCTTGCAAGGAACCCAAGGCTAAGCTGAGAAGCCATAACTGGCCCAAAAGGACAAGTGGGGGCTAAAACACAGGTCTCCAAGAACAGCCTTTCTGCACCAAATAACTAGAAAACATGCAATGTAACACCAAATTTAAAAAACAATCCAGGGAGAAACATTTTTTTCTGGGTAGATTGATTGAAAGCCTTATTAAAGATAAAACGAGTATGCATATAGAAGGAAAAGCTGAAGAAGGCTCAACATGGCTTCTGCAAAGGAAAGTCTTGTGTCACTAACCTTTTCGAGTGCTTTGAGAATGACAACTAACATGTCAACGAAGTGACCCAGCAGACCTTGTTTAGCTGGGCATTCAGAAGGCTTTTGATAAAGTCCCTCAACAAAGACACCTAAGTCATGGAACAGAACAGTCACTAGTTTGAGAACAGAAAGCAGAGTAGGAATAAATGGTAAATTCTCCCAGTGGAGGATTATAAATAGCGGGATACCAGGGTGATCTGTACTACTACTTTCCAACCGATTAATAAATGATCTGGAATTAGGAATGGGCAGTTAAGTTTGCTGATGACACTCCAGTACTTCGGCTGCTTAAAACCACAAGAGATTGCCAAGAGCTCCAAAAGGTCCTCCCCAAGCTGGGAGAAGCGGCATCAAACCGGCAAAGGCGGCTCAGTGTAACCAAGTGCAAAGCTATGCACCCAGGAGCAAAGCATCCCAGCATCAAGCCGGCGGTAAGCAAGCTGACCCCCAAAGGCAGCTTGATGAAAATGTCACCTCAGTGCGAGGTTGCTGCGGAAAGGATACACTCCGCGGGCATAATGAGGAAAGGAGCCGCGCGCAAAGTCGCCGAGATCGTGCTTCTTGTACAAATCTATGCGGGGCGCACACCTCGGGTATTTTGCACGCATCCCTCTGGCTGCCGCAGCTCCAACGACCATGTAGCCGAGGGCCAGCGAAGGGCTTCGGGGCTGCAGCCGCTGCTGCGAGGCGCACGGGGCGCCTGGGGCCGTTGGGCTCGGGAACAGCGGGGCGAAGGCAGGCGCGGGGCCCGCGCCGCGAGGCTGGCCGGGGGGATCGGGGCCGGCAACGGGCGGGCGGCACAGGCGGCAGGCAGGCCCGTCTGGCGGCTCCCGGGCTCGGGCGGCCGCTCCGGGGCGTCTCGAGGGCGCGGCAAGACTCCGCGGCTGAGCCGGCCGGGCCGCCCGCGCGAGGCCTCATCGCACAGCCTGCGGCCCGCAGCAGCGGCGAGGCCGCCCGCGGCTGCTCTCCCGCCGCGGCCTCGGGGCCGCCTTCACGCCGGCAGCGGGGCCCGCTCGGCGCCCC